GAAAAGGGTCAATCAAAATCTAATATTCTATTCACTCAAGCAATAAATTAGCATATTAGAATCTTATTATAGCTAATACTTGTGCAATTTAGCATTTTATTGAATTAATATCGCGACGAAATATCATGGAAATGTATAGTTTTTTTAAAAGATAAACCATTTAAAAGTTGTCTAAATCACATTTCGAAAATTTTTTTAAAATAGGGGTATGCATATAAATTTTTATTTAAATCTATTATTTTTAAAATTTATTATTTCTGTTTAAAACACACATATATGGCATTTTTTAAAATAAATATTAATTTTATTTTCTACGATTTTTATACAGAATACACATGATCTCTAACATAAGTAAAAATAAAAATTAGATGTAAAAATAAAAATAATTGCAATCAATGTAAAAGCTACCAACAAAATAAAATAATACTCATATACCTATTCAATAATACTTTTCTTATCGAATTATGTCGCACGTCCTTCTCCTGCTTTTTTGTAGCAGATGGAATTTATCGACGATTCAGTTTACTTTGACGATTGTTCCTTGTCCCGTACTATAATTCATAATAGACTTATCACGATAATGCAAAGGTGTGGTACATATTACGATACGTCATACGTCAATTCAACAGATAACATATCGTGCACACGCATGCACACTAAAGCTAGGAACTATAACGTCCTTATCTATTTTTAACAGATAGCAATAAAAATGACACAAAAATGAAAAAGTGTTTAACTTGTTTAACTTCCCTTTAATTTTCAGAAAATAAAATTTAAATATGTATTATATTTTATTTTAAGAGCGTTTCTACTAATAAAATAGTAAGCTTAATGATATCTGCAATGTCAGTCTCTAAATCAAAACTTTAGAAGATTTAATTAGTGTTGCATGTTATTATCATAGCGCATACATCTATATACGCATATAAAATAATAGTTACGCGTATCAATAATAGTACTTTGGATAAATATAATTGAATCGATTTTCCATCCATGTCTATTCTCTTCGAAAGCTACATCATGCGTATCCATTAGCTCGACTATTCCTATCAGCGAATCGGAAGATTAACTCTCGGTTACAGGCAATAATAAGAGTAACGTGCCGGCGATGAGCCACAAACGATAATGCGAAACACACAGCGTAATAGCACAGCGAGTATAAGACACGCAAGATGAATACAAGACTAGTGAGCTTAATTTTCCCACGCCACACCTTTCCTAACCTAACCTAACCTTTCGCTATGAGAGCTATTTCAAAATCTGATGTAATAATGCTTAATGATAATAAAAATACACAACGCTTGGTAAAATCATTGTCCATCTATTGACTTCTCATGCTACATTCGATCTTTTCCACGTAATAATTTTACACCACGATATTTTCATAGTGATGAATAAACTTTCGTCTTCCACTTCATCACCTACGCGGAATGAGAAAAAATATAAATTTTAATTTAAAATAAATTTCGATAAAACTACGATTTATTGCGACCTTAATTTTAATCACAGTTTCTTTAACAAAGTCGATTTTTTTTAGAGAAAGTTTCAAGGAAAAACGCTTGTAATATTTTTTAACGTTTCAATATGCAGTACAATATATGTATATACTTTTGATATTTAATTAAGTATTAGATTAAGATTATGCCCAAAAATGTAAACAAGCAATGCGTATTCTTTTAATTTTAATATTTTATTTTCAATTGTATATTGCTTGAAAACTATTAGCAAGACTATTTGACATTTGGCAAATTAATTTCAGATTGATAAAAAAATCTAATTGATTTATGGAACTTCCTGGGATATTCCGTGTATACGAGTATAAACATCAAACTAAAAGCGTCTCGTAAAACGCGATATTCCGAATACACTAATGCGGCAATCACGAGGCAATTATTCACTGTGCGACAGGCCGCCTGGTTACACATCCTTTCCTTTTTACGTAATTGCGGCATGTACCTTTTAACGTACGAGATATAACGTACTCATTGCGTGATTAATGACACGTTGCTTGGGACGTTAAATTGATGTGCGTACACGTCTCTCAGAAGATTGCACCGCAATTTGTAAAAATTAAATTTCGTGGCATATTATTGAAATTTGCTTATACATGCTTTTATTCATTAATCAACGTAAAAGAGAAATAGAAATACTTCCTTAGCTTTGACAAATGCAACTTTTGATGGTATACTTTGTTTTATTGTAAATACGTAAATCCTTGTAACTTTTCTTATAAAATACTTTAATTCTTGTCACGTAATGTCTATATCTTCAAGATTAATTGCATTATTGCCGTGAAATACAGCGATCTGATTTGGTATTCTATTCATTCTCAAATCTCCATTTATTCCAGTCTTATTGCCTTCATGTTTATTTTTATATGCATCACGTCTTCGGATTCAATTGCATTACATAACGTTTCTTTAAAAAAATATTTACATCATCGTGCGCGCATTGAACAAACGGCGGAAACCCACCGTTACCGGTTACAATGAAATCTTGTTGAATCGCTCCGAAGGTCTCGGAAATAGGTGATCTAACTTTCTGGAGCATATTGCTCCAATCCGAAACTACGAGTGAGCTCGATGAAATCTTAAATTAAGATTTAATTAAGCCAGACTACACAAATTGGCGCTGAAAATCGTTCAATTAATGAGAATCGATCTTTCTTACAGTTCCCAGCTGTCGTCGACTCATATAAGGTAATCATTAAACGGCTTCGATCAGTAGGTGATAAGATAGTTTGTTTTTGCCATGTTATTCGAATCATATTTATGCAATATCTCATCAATCAGTCATTCGAACATCTTGCTAAAGTCTTCCGTAAATTTACGTAATAAATTGGATATAATTATCGTAGTTCTAGAAAATTATTTTCCATTAGAAAGTCTCTATACGTATATCATATGAAAGTCATGAAAAAATATTTATAACGACGAAATAAAAAATTTAATATACATTTTTCAAAATTAAATCAATAATAGAATGGCAACCAGAATTTTTTATAAAAACCACTTATTTTTTATTCGTAACTAATATATTTTTAATCATTAAGGTCAAGCGCAATGTAGAAAGTGAAAAAGTGCAAAGTCACATTGCAACCAAGTATGAAAAAATAATCAATCATCAGATATGAAGAAAATCGATAATTGCATAAAAAAGCAAACTGTATTAACTCATTGAGCCACAACAATTTTTTTATTATTTAATTATTACGTTAATTCGTTTACTGAATAATATATTATAATTAATGTTCCACAGGCCAATTTATTATCTGCTTTCGCATTTTTGACATATTGAGCGCTGTAATGATTTAATCCGCGAGTAAAGGGCAAACGTTATTCTTCTCAACGATCACAGACAGTTTTAATCCAATGTTATAAGCTGCTTGCATGCACTTTACAGATGCATGAAGTGCACATGCACGAATTGATGAAAATATTTTATGTTCATTTACAGAGAGGGATCACAAAGACTGGCGATCTTAATTTCTAAGAGAATTTAACGATTGATGCGCATTCGTGCACAAAGAAGTTGCAAAGTTGAAATAATAACTAATAACTATGCCCGTCAATTATCTCACAACTCGTCCGCCGGCGAATTCTTCTCGAAGGATGCGCGAAATCACAGAAAGCGCACATCCAGTTCTACGAACGCTTTGCTTTGTATTCCGACTGCATATTCAGCATTAAAGGTACATGTCTCTTTATCTCTTAGTTGACATTGAACGTGATATTTCTAAACAAATAGAACTTAAAAACCTGGACAGCTACATTAAGGGCTAAATTTAAGATAAGCTAGTATGCATAATTTTAACTCGTGTAAGGCGATCATGTAATTTCGAATTTTATTTCACATTGTGTATATCCAAAATATATTTAGATTTACGTCATTTCAGATGTTTACAATATGCCTTCTAAAATCAGACAGCATTTACAGTGAGAATAGTCTCTTTATACACAATCTAAATACAGAATCAATGTTTTACGACAGTTGTGCTTACGCACGCGAATTATGGGGAGTGTTATGTTTGAAAAGATACGTTTTTGTTTCATCGTGCTTGCGTCGTACTGCGAAAAGACGACCTTGCTTTCCGCTTTAGAATGCCCAGCTTAAATCCCGACCTCGAAAAGACGCGAACAAAAGTGAAATAAAGAGTCGCTGAAATTCCTCTATCTTTAACTAATGAAATGCTAATCCTTTTGATAATTTATTACACGTGAGATTGGCATGAATAAAAAATATTTTAACTTTAGCTTAAAGTTACTTTTTCTTCGATATTCGTTCTTGTTAAAAACGTGAATTAAACAATTTAACACATGACACAAACAAAAAACTTCAAATTAATACAATCGTAATTTTTCCAAACAAGTAAAAAAAAAAAGTAACTCACCAAACAACACACACACACACACACACACACACATACGTACACGATTTGTTTCAAATTTTTCTATTATTATCAAGAAGGTGTAAATCAAAGGAAATGCATTTTTCATAGATATATATAATAAATTCTTTAAAATCAAGATTATAATTTGCTTGAACAAGTTTTAAATATGCACTTTTTCCAAAAAGTTTTTAAAAATCTAAACTAATTTAATATTACAAAATATTCATTACAATTAAAATATCAGTTATATTATACATTTGATTAATTAGTTTCATGGTAAATTAAAATGTCGAAAAATAACACGCTGCATTTTCTCATTTATCCTAATGAGGCCGCGTGTAAAACATCAGCTTCACAAGAGAAGCTGATGTTTTTCTTTTCTGTCCAAAAAAAAAGAAACGATGAGGCCGTAGTTTTAAAAACGTTTCTCGGAAAGCCGCGGCCGGAAGTAAAATAGAGAAAAACGTTGCGAAAGTCGTAGACGTCGGGACGCAGCGTGAAGCTGCGGCTATTTTCTACGAGGGGGCCAGGCTCTTTCTTCAGTTAACTCATCGCTTTCCCGCCCTCTCTTCCGCCACGACCCTATAATCGCCACTACGAAGCTGCTTACCTCACGCTATAGGATCTTCCCGGTTTGGAGGTCATTGCACTGCGACGGGTGGTTGTAGCGGGGTGGTGGTCGGCGGCGAATCGATTTTCCATGACGACGTCGCGGTGTCGGTGTCGCCTGTTGGAAAGCGTCTCTCCTCCTTCCTCGCCCACTCACTCTGGCTTTTCCCTCGTTTCTCTCCTCCTTGCTGCGTCTATCCACGCGTTCTATGCGACACGTGACTACAACGAGAATTCTGCTCCTACGAGATCGAAGAGAGCATCCTCTTCAAGATGCAGGTCGATCGATACTTCGCCAGGCGTCTCTACACCCACGTCTGCGAACTTCCACCCTTTAAGTTGCACTCTGTAGTCCACGCGCGTATCCCTTCAAGTTGACTCGAAGATATCTTCGCGATATCTGACGGAAGAGGAGCCGAGTTTTAACATAGACATCATTATCCTGGACCAGTAGATATGCTCGGTAAATGAACCACTGATCTTTCAATAGCAAATCTCAATGGATTTATCGTTCAATCAAACAATTCGGAACGAAAAATAGAAAAAAAACGTGTCTCTTCCCAAGGTCAGTGATTTCTTGTGTGATCAGTTCGAAAAGTCGTGATATGAATTCATGAAATATCTTGGTATCAATGTCACGGCTTGACACGTAAATAGTTTTCACAGTAATATCCAATGTCACGGCAATGGTGACACTTCTCTGTCTGTTTATAATTGGTTGATGTTCGTTCAAGCGTGTTTGTTTGTACACCTTCTTCTTCGTATTTTTTACCGGTTCTTTCAACCTAGCTTCTTTTTGCTCCAGGTTTGTATCACGGTTGTGTCACGGTTTCACATCGGGAAACTCTGAAGCGATCGATCTATGCAAATCCTTTCATCCGTAATGTCGCAATTGTCAACTTGCAGGTGTAAAAGGATTCATGTGACTGCGGTGAGTCGGTCATTTCCGATTTCTCCGACGATTGTTCGCGGTCTCATTAAAGATTCTTTACACCCCGGAGACACCTTTGTTCTCCAAGCGCAAGTAATGAGCCTTAGAAAATCGTATAAAGTAAAATCTCTATACGGCTATTATATATATATATCTTCGAGGTCGACAGCAAACAAGGTTCAGTAGAAAAAAACTAAATGATCTTAAATTTTTGCAAAAGAATTATGAAAAACTCCCGCAAAAATTTCCGACAGTTATTTATGAAACACATTCATGCAGAACGGTTAATATACTTGTATATAAACTATATACAACTGTAAACACAATGTTTTTTATAAAAATTATTCTTTGCACCACACAGTAAAGTTTTACTATAATATTGACGAACAGTCCACGAGATAAATATTCCGAAATCAACTATAACTCTTCGTTCACGTGGTCGTGACTTCTTCAGTATCCACGAGCGAAATGAACGGGCACGTCGCGATGTCGAGAGAGGGAGAAGCGTGTAAAGTGATTCGCGATGCCTGGGGGTGACCCTAGTATGCCATGCGGTAGCACCGCATTCGTTACTGCAATTCAATACAACCACCGTGGCTACACTACGTGGCTTGCTTCTATCGACCGTATCGCACTGCGACGAGGAATCGGACTGGTCGCCGAGCAGCGTGCCGCGCAGGTTTCATAAGTACTTGCGCGCGCGCGCACCCTCAAGCACAGGTGGGGCCAAATTGGATATTCATAAATAGTGTCATTCTTTATCTAGCATTGTTTTCTAAAGTCTTTTTTCATGTTAATTCTTAGGAAAATGAAAATTGCGTTTTCTTTTTTAGCAGAATAGAATACGAAAGACTTTTTATTGAGTATTTTTCAATCATTGATTAAGATAAAAAATATTTTATAAATGTTCATAGATGCTCAATACTTTTATAAGTTTATGGAAACAATTTTGAAAAAATAGTAAACGCAAAATGGCATTCATTACAATTTAATATCATAATATCTATTATTATTAAATACATTTATAAACTTTTATAGAATACCTATACTTTGTTGAATTTAAGAGCGAGAAAGAAAAAGAAATAATAAAGAATGTCAATAAATTTTTTTAAATATTTTCTTCTGTTTCTTTTTAATTGTTTTGCAACAATATCTAAGTTTATAAAAGTTGGAGCAGAAAATATTGAATATTTTGATAACATACCGTTTTTATTATAGTTTTCTTAGAATTATTACAACAATTTTATCTTTACTCTTTCCAATAAAATTAACAAATTAAGTTTAGATTTTAAGATTTTATCTTAAAATGTTTTCAATTACAGATATTAATGTCTTTAACAATATCTTACAAATATTTTTTACAAACAATTAAATATACTGAATTAAATTTAGATAATCTCAACGAAGAATTACTTATTTAAAAATGTTAAACTTAACGGAAGAGACGCGTATCATCTCACATAATTCGCAAGATCATCCTTTACAATCTTTATATCGTACATTCCTCGAGTCTGCACACGTAGTCTTATCGCCGGATCCGTAATATCAAGCTCATTGAGGGCTGACCAATTAAAGGCCGCACGCAACGGATCATTGCCCGGATTAAGACCCCGACGATCGGGCAGATATTTCACTATCTCGATCGATTTCCGTTCCGATCCATTCTCGCGAAACTACGAGTCGTATGCAGCACGTTCTAACGGCTGCTAATTACGAACAGAGGAACAGTCTGAGTCGCTTCAATTAATACGTGCAATAACAATTAACGTCGTCCATATTCCTACCCCATTAAGATGCAAGTATCAACATGATATAACGCAGACAATATTTAACGGTTTGCGATGATGGCGATACACAAACGCTTGTTACTATTAGGTGACGAGAGAGGCTACGCTAAACGAATGCCACGTTTATAACCGCGTCATGACCACCATCAGAAATCTGAAATCTGGCTATTCGCCACATAACTCAGTACTCAAAACGCGGGACTCTCGCAAAGATCAATCGTAGTTGAAATTTCTGTAAATATCTATTAATTAAGTTTTACTCAAGGATCCTCGTTTCCGCGATAGCAATTTAAATATTTTTTTAAATAAATTCTCCAAATCAACCAAAACAACTATAATTTTTTTTTACTTAAAGTAAAATCTTTTTAATACATTCTTTTTATCATTTTCCATAACAAGGAAAAATATAACAAAGAAAATTAACGACACTTGTTTCTATATTTGATACTTATTATTATCAAAATTTTTCTTTTACATATGCAAATCTTTATATCTCAGACGATATTATGAACAAGAACAAAAAATTCGCGGAATGTAGAAGCAATGTATATGTATACGTGATTATAACTCGCATAAATTTCTATGTCGAGTGGTTGCACCGTATGCTTGAAGTGTATATGAAAGAGGAAATATGTTTATGTTTGCACTCGTGGTAGGACCTTGTCGCGGATAATCCTGACAATACCGGTGATTTCGCGGACCGAGTATTCTAAATCGCGAGCAATGCTCGACGCGACGGTCTGCCATGCCGAAAACAGCATTGCCGACACGAAATTATGTGGAATGTTCACGAATGAATTTCTGAGGCCTGAGGGGGTCTCTTCCTCTAAGTAGCATCAAGCTATTCCAGCTCAGGTGAACAGGGCACGTTGCATAGACGGCATAGAGAACTCGCAACATGTGCAAGTTGTCGAGGAAAGTTAGATAACGGTACATACGTACATAAATTAATTGCTTCAAAAAATAACACTTACACAGGTTGTTCTATTTAGCTCAAATGCTGAAAATGTTTGTATTATAAATAATAAAAAAATAAGTAGAAATAAGGAAGAAAGTGATATAGATGAAATTTATAGAAAACTTAAAAATTTCATATAGTTTTATGTTTTCCATCTGTATTGAAAAGCCAAAGAGATTACGATTTCCGATTTATAAGTTCTTATAAAAATAAAATGTATGGTTATAAAATTGAGATTTTATTAAATAATGATGCAATTAACATGTGTAGTTTTATTTATATAAAAAATTGTCTTCTTTATTAAACTATTTGTGAATTATTTATTTTATTAGTTTCCAAGTTACGATCATTATTGCAATATTTTTTATTGCATTATTTTGTTCTGTGAAGAAGCATGGAAAATGAAAGCTTAAAAGTTTAATAAAGTTAAAAATGAATTTTTATGTTATTTTAGATAAATAAATTATACTTATAATATTTACTAAATATTTTATCTTACCATTATTATCTTATCTTACACGTACTACTTACTAGTATCTAGTTATATTTTTAGAAAATTAAATTACTTCTACTTTTAGAAAATTAAACTTAATTACCATTTGCTTTTTCATTGTATTTAACTCAAATCTACTATGCGATAAGGTCGAGTTAAATTATACATATCGTAGCAAAGCATAACAAAAGAATTAAATTTATACTAATAATAAATCCGAGACTGAGATAATACGCAGTTCTATGTTGAGAATTTAAACTATGTTAAGAGTTTGGAACATGTGGACATCAGTATTTTCATATACACAATGATGATAAGTTTCCTATATTGGCCGCAAAGCGAGTAGGATGCCTACTGTGTGATCATTATAAATTATACGTAACGATGCTAAATCGAAAACGGCACACCCGTGCTGAAACTGTGCGGAATGTTGTCATAGATTACCAAGGCGGATGCTTCCTTGAATTATAGTTAAAGTATCCCTTTTGGCCATTTCTCGTACTCGCAAAGCTAACTGAATTTGAACATATATTCTTAACTCAGAATTATTTAATATTCTTCTTGCGTGCTACGTGTAAATAAGCTTAGATCAAATCTTAATAAATCATATCAATCTTATACTTATATTCTCACAAATTGTATCTTTTCTCATAAAGAAATTATTGTAGAATTTATATGATCTCTGTGGACAATGTAAACTGCGCTCGCTGTCATTCTTTGTTATATCCATTTATTGATTGACTTCCACACGATACGTACGAGCGAAATATATTCTTATTGACTTTTTGTGTTTTTCTTCCTGCTTTACGCGTTTTAGTTTTAATAGTTTATTTCGGAGAATATATAGATTCCTTTCTTTCTCCCTCTCTCTCCCTCTCTTTCTGACTTTTATTTTACCTACATTTTTATTAACTTAAATTATATCTGTTCTGTTAAATGATTTTTGCTTTATCAATTCTAAAGCTATTCTTAAGAAAGTTTTACTTCCCTAAAACTTCTCCCAAAAATAATACTTTTACAAGATTCTTCTCAAGTATGACATTTTTTTACAAATACTGTCACAAATAGATGGCTTAATTCTGGTAAGCGATACGCTTCTGGAATGAGCGGACTCAGTGCAGTGCCAATAATTCATGTTAAGTGACAACGACGTAATTTAAGCGCCACATAAATCCGCAAATGTTGCCGGTCGGTGGTCAAAGATGAAGTCGCGAGACTAAGTTTTGCACTGCATTCCGTAAGCGGGATTCCAGAGAGCGCGGCGGCGTGTGGTGCGAGCACGCACGCACATACATTCCCCGGGGAACCACAAAGAAAGTTGCGCGGAATGTCGAGAGAGTCTCAGACACGTAAATCGCTCCGCGCTCTCTAGTACACATAGGTGCGTGTAAATATAGATCACGTCCCAAAATATGTCTTTCAGTCCGCACTTAAAATCGTCGCTTCCGCCGGCGATCCGTCGAAGGTCCTGCTATACCTTAAGGGCCGCCGCGCCGTCGCGTTGGATTGCCGCCACCATAGTTTTTAAGATAAGCATAAATCAATCACTTTGTAAGCAGTCGGAAAAAAGAGAACTTTTGAAAGAAAATATTTCAAATAACGTATTTCGAGAATGTAATAATTTGTAAGCACGTTTTCAATTCTTTTCAATCCTGCATTAATTACGCGAAGACAAAGTACTACACTGATTTTAATTACTGCGCACAAGCTAAAGGCAAATTTTCATGATAATTATCGAAACATTATGATAATATCAAAATATCTTAAAATTTTATTTTATTAATAATTGGATATAAAGATAGTTTTTGATAGTTTAGTTAAAACAGTTTAGATTTGAAAAATTAATTTAAATAAGTCAATAAAATGTAAACATGTACGACGGACGTCTTACATAAAATTATGCATCAATATCAATTAATTTTTTGTTTTTATAAAAATAGGTATTATTATTCAAAATTATGTATGATGTATAGATGATGTAATGATAAAGATCTTTCAGATATGTATAAATCAAAGATTGTGTGCATTTGAGCTTAAAGATGTAAAAGAGAAAGAAACCTTTTTTTCAATTTACTAATTATCAATCTACTTTTGATATAGAAAGATATCAGTCTTCTTTCTCTTCTCTTAAAAGAAAGAAATTTTATTTAATATAATGTTAAACTGACACTTTTTTAAATTTGAACTGTCTAGATCTCTCTGGACAGTTTTCACTGTGAAATTATTAGATAGCTACATTTATCGAATCAAGAGAATTTCTCAAGGAAACGATAGAGCAAGAAGAGATTTGTCGATCTATGCAATCGTTCGGGCGTAAAGCCAACGATTGTCGTCGGATGATAGGTAGATCAAATCCTCGATCAAGCAAAGCCGCGCCACGAGAAGGCTACAAGATTAACG